CCCAGCCTGAGGATTATCAGTGATGAATATTAACACTGAGCATTTACATTGTGCGCTGCTTCCTTGTCCTTCACGACCCCGTGGTCAGGCTGGGAAATATCTGCCTTTTTACAGATGGAGAAGCTAAAGAGAGGAGAGGTTTTACCTGAGGCCATCAAGAGAATTGGTGTCAGAGCTGGGATTAGAACTGAATCCTGTCTCCTGATCTATGACCACAACCCTCTATTCACCCTTCTGCAGCCAGCCCGCCCAAAGTCTGTCACCATGTAAACCCACAAAATACAGGGAACATCCCCTCAAATTAGTATGAAACTATAAAGCACGTGACCTGAGGGCACTGGAAATTGATCATTTTTAAAATTAATTTTGGGTGCATTTTAGAGTCCATAAAAGCCAGTCTCAGGATTTGATTCTGATCACACTTGCACTGGTGTAACGGAGGAGTAACTGCATTGAAATCAATGGAGTGACACCTAACCCTGTGTAAATGGGTCAGAATTAGGTCCTCAATACACATACAATAAACTAATACAGGAAAAGCATCCAAGAATGGTAAATACAGTTTTTATTCAGGCAATGAAACATGGAAAAAATATATTAGTAATCATTATTATAATCTCATTTGTGTGAGTATAACTCTTACAAATATTTACCTGACATATAAAAGGGAAATTATTGTACATATAAAATTTATGCAGATGGCAGTTACATACACTGTACAAAGCAATCCTGATAGTAGTCAATGCAAAGAGTTCTTCTTCCTGCCTCTGGGAGGGAAGAGACTGCACGAGGGATGCAGTGGAAACAGATTTGCAGTCAGGATGGTCATTAATTGGCACTTTACTGCAGACAAGATCTATTGCAAATGTACACTTGTAGACGGCAACATTAATAATTTTACAGGCAGGCAACTTTGACAGTTAAAAGGGATGGTGCAATTCTACTGGAAAAAAGAGAGATCATGCTTTGAACTTGGTGCATGGCCATTTGCAAGTTTCCGGGTATTAGCGATACATCTTGGCTTGTTCATTAGGGAAGGAGTTTTGTGTTCACAAGACACTTGTAAAAATTACTCAGCAAAGCTTGAGTATTGCCATTATCTCTCTGTACAGGAACAGCAGCAAGTTGCAGATCTTCCTGAAAATGCTACTGAATGGCAAAAGATGAAGCGGCATCTTTACAGACCTGAATAGAAGGATCTACAGATGATGAGCCAGACTATACCAAAGCTTTGCTTCTGGGTTTGTACACTATAAAGCAGCATACAAGATAAAACAGTCTCACTGATTTAAAGTTCCATACATCTTCCATTATATATAACTATAACCATTATATATGTAACTATAACCATATTATAGTTAATAAATCATTCCTTAGGAATCTCATTTGCCCAAATTCTAACGGCATGCTGAGAGGCACAGAAATGGAACAACACTCAGATGATACAGACAGTGAAAGTGCAATCACTGGACTCTGGGGAACAGATACAAATGGGAAAATGCTCTCAAATCAGATTACTACTGAGGGGGAGGAAGGAGCTCTCTGCAGAACTGTCTTGCATTTCAGTTCTCTTACCTTTGGAGGAGAAGGAGGTTTGTTAAAGATTTACTTTGTAATTTGCAAGCTGCAGTTCTGTATAGATGCTGAGACTCATGACTGTATTTTATAGAGCTGTGTTCTCTGGAGTTTATCAAAACCTCTCTGCAAGGACGCATCATCTCAGAGAAATGGAAAAAAACCTCACAGAGAGACAGCTACCTCAAAACATGCTAAGATTTGAGGAATCAGTGTCCCCACACCCTAATGCGCTGGATCTCCAGACTTTAGCCCTCAATAAGCAAACCTTTCCTGCTTTTGTTTTAGTCCCTTATGGCCCCAGTGAGATAGCAAATGCAACTATGTTTGCTCAGAAATCTAATTTCGCTTCTCTTAACACAGGTGGAAGTGAACATGAGTGGCATAATATGGGGCAGTGTATCTGAGGGCAGAGATAACATCAAACAACTATTCATAACAAAGAAAGAGTGGATCTAACGGACATCATTTACACTTTCTTATGTGGGTTTTTTGGGGGATGAGGAGAACCTGTGATGTGACTCAACCATAAAAGGGGGTTTTATTAAACACACTTTATTAAGAAAACTCTTCTCAGTTCTGTGGCAAACTCTTGTTTATTCATAGGCTTTTCTCATGGGGCAGTAGAATAATGTTTTACAAAAACTCAGATTTGGTTCTGGAGCTGCCAGGCAGGTTTTCAATGCCATTTGGTTCCTATCTAAACTCTGCTACAACATGGACACTGTTTGCAGAGAGCAGGTCAGCCCGGGATCCTGGCTACTCTTTTACAATCTATGAACGGCTTTAGTTAAAACTCAACATTTTGAGCACATTGGGTGAAATTCACACCTGTGCAGAGGACTAGTGCCAAGACTAGGTACCACTCAAGTCTCACCAAAATCATGTGCGACATGAGTGGTGCATGGACCTCGTGCTGGAATCTTGCCCATTGTTATTAGGGGAGAGTTAAATGGATCCCGATAAAATCAGAAACAACCTGAAATTTGCCCCCAACTCAAAACTAGCCCAAAATAACAAATAACTTCTTCTGGGATCTGAAAAAAACTTGATAACTCTCCTCCCTCACACAACTTTTTTCCCATCCCTGCTGGGGCTGGAAGTGGAGATGCCGAGCTCCTCCCACAGAATGGTTGCTCTCAACAAGGTTTCTAGCCCAAATCTGCAGACCCCAGAGGTTCAGAGCTGTATCTCAATGTTTGGCTTCTTTCCTTCGGGGGCTCACCTTTGATTCATCTATTTGCCATTGTCCACTTGCAGTAACATCTAGCTAACACCTGCCAAGAAAGAGTCGTTATTATTCAAGAATCACAACACGGTTTAGGTGCGTTCTGGAAACGAGTGAGCTAAAGAGAATGCTCCTACTTCAGTCTGACCACACTCAAACTATGGTATAACCCAGGGCAATCAATTATTTTTTGTCAAGGTCCAAAATTTCTTGGTTAAGGTATAGTCAAGGTCTAGACTTCAGAGAAAATAATTTAAAAAAATAACAATAATGATGATAATAAATAAATTAAAAGATTCTGGCATCCGTTCTAAAGCATCTGGTCATCCGGATTTGGCTACCTCTGGTGTAACCTGATCACTGAGGTTGACAGGAAGAGCAGCCTCGTGGCCCCATGCTCTCCTTTGTTTGTGGTTCGCTCACTTACTGCCTGGACAGAGGTTGCCCGTCTCCCTCTGTAGATCATCTGATACAAGCTCTCTTACCAACATGCTTGAGGGCTGTGTAACTACTGCGCCCGGGGGTACAGCACAGGAATGGGGGGTTTCCTTTCCTGCCACCACAGAGTGCTCAATAGTCACAAAAACGCTGGGGGTCCATATCCCATCAAGGGAACTACCCCTGGGCTAATTTCGGAGGGACCTTCTCCAGTGCACAGCAGGACACTACTTTCAAAGGAGGCATGCTAAACTAGTCCCATTAGCTAGTCAGGGGCAGGGTGTCACCATCTTGGTCTTGTTCAATGTATAATAATCATCTCCCTACAGAATACATTTCAAAAAGTATATTTTAGAACAGACGTGTGCTCTGCATGGTCCATGTTAGGAACCAGAAAATAGAAGAGTTTGATTTTGGTATGAAACGTTAGCAGCCAAAAGGCTTGCTAAACTTTTACATCCGCCACTAGCTAGGGCTCAGTTCCAAAACAGCAAATCCTTCCCTGGTTTGATACTTCACCACTATCCACTCAGGACTTTAAAATCGGATCCACTGCCACCCCAGCTGTTGCCTAGCCCAGCCCATGTTTTGTTCTGGAGTTACATTTCTCTGTCTGAAGGGCAGGACTGCTTTGCACAAAACCTCAGACAAATGGTTCCAAAGCATAAGTCCCTGACCAAGAGAAATTAGCATGGACAGAACAGTTCATACAGCTTGTGAGCATCACTGCTGTCAGGCTAGAGGTACTGCACCCTAGTGAATGCCATATGGATGAGACCTGCTGCAACTCTGCAGGGTGGGAAAGCATTGCCAATGCGCAGACAGGTAAAACTCATTGCTAATGTTGGCTCATGCAACAGCATTCCAAGTATGGTACAAAAACAATCTACATACATTTAAATATATGTCACCCTGCAGAACTTCTGGGTCTCTACTGCAGTATGAAGGGTGCTTCAGCAATTCTGCATGAAATTGGCTTGGTCCAAATAAAGGGAAAATCCACACTACAGTTCCACTGAGTGGTTTGCTTGCATAGTTAGTATGATTCGGTTTCCTGCCCATTTGTACCTGCACGTTTATTTAACAGCTGTTTGCAGCTGACTTTGCTTGTACTAGTTTCTGGTTCTATTAGTACTTGTAAAACTGCAAAGGCATTTCTGAGAGCAAGACACAGTCCAGAGCATTTTGCATAATTTTAAATGGCATTCTGTATTGACTTGGAGAAAAGGATTTTAGGACATTCACCATATGCACAAATTAGGGCCTGCTCCCTTCTTTCTGCAGTCCCCAAAGGGAGCGGTCACTCCTCTAATCTCACAGCAGCATTTTGATCCAATACCAAAGAGCTTTGCTTTGCATATTTTGAATTACTATTAAAATACTACTAATCAATGCCAGGAAATGATGGTGCTAGAGGGCAGCACAGGGCAAGTGGTACCACCCCAAGAGGAGATGTACAAAGTAGGTAACCAAATATGCACGCACATCTGTCTGGATGGAAGATCCAGCTGTGCAGCTGTGAGGAAGGACCCACCAAGGCTGACGAGAGAGCCCTAGTGCAAGGACAATAAAGTGCACTGACCAAGGGTACCTTTGCACTGCAATTTGAGGTGTGACTGCAGCTCAGGCTGAAACACCTGCGCTAGCCTGGCTAAAGGCAGCAATGTAGATGCGCAGTACAAAAATGCCCGGGACCCTGGGTACCTACATGCATTGCTGAAGCCCATGCTGCTGCATCTACATTGCTATTTTTACCCATGTTAGCGCAGGTATGTCAGCCTGAGCTGCAATCACACCTCAGAGTGCAGTGTAGACATACCCAGAGAGACACTTGGGCTTCCCTCCCTAGCTGCTGGCAGGGCATGGGATCAGGACTTGCTACAACATGTTACATGAATATACACTTGGATCAACCTATCAGAAATGAATCAAACCACTTTCAGGCAAACCAGTTCAGCTGTAGGATTAACCAGTTAATCAAAATCGCATGCTGTGGACACCGTGTGTGTGTGTGAGTGTGTGTGTGCGGGGTGTTTCCTGTCAGATGCCCCTGATTTTAACATCATTACCTCCCTATCCCAGACACTTCTACTGAGACCCCACAGTGCCTTCCTTTCTCAAGGTACCAGTATTGCACTGTCAGCTCTCGGCACCTGGGTGTGGGCTTAGCCTCACAGCTGGGACCTCCCCATTGTTTTTAGGCGGAAAATGCCAACTGGTTAGGTGCTCAATAGATGTAACCAATAAAAATCCCAGCTCTCATATGGGTACAACTCAAACCAGCTCTCTAGCTGCCAGGAAGGGACCCCAGAAAGTGTCCGCAGGCCTGACTGAGGTGCTGTCTGTAGGGGTGGGCATGTGGCTGCTGATGACACCAAAAGAAATGCACAAGTCCTGCCGGATTAGGGAGAAACTGAGCGAAGCCCTAAAAACCTGGGGCTGCAAACCCTCTGAAACGATCAGACTAGAACCCTTTGGGACGCCAGCTTTGCCTCTGGGGTGATGGGATCCTGCAGTCAAGTGGGGCAGGCAGCTGTGCGCATGTGCTTTTCTCTGCTCAGGGGAGATTATTCCTGGAGACTAAGGCAAGGTGCGCAACGTTACAAAAAAAGCAGCCAAGTGCAGAGTGTTGGACAAAGGGTGGCGAGGCTCAGTCAGTCTTTCCCATCTTTGCAATCAGCTCGTCACAGATCTTGGTCAACTCTTCAATTTCTTGGTTCTGAAAGACAAACGGTCACATGGAGATGAAGAGCTGAAGTTCCCTGATGGCCACGGGTAACCAGTGAGTGACCAATTCCAGCCCCTTTCCCCACTGGTAATACAAATAAATCATCATCATCATCATCATCATAAAAGGAAAGGCATGGCCCCTGGGGGGGGGGGGGGGGGAGGAAGGGGAGCAGAGCCAATCTGCTTCCACTGCTGACCCTCTGCAGGGACTGGGGCTCTATCACATGGCGAGCGGGGGCCAATGAAATTGCTCTGCAGTTGGCACTGTAGTTCAGGGCATTCACTTCTGCAAACAGGATTATGGCTACTAATCCCTTTGTAACACCATCCATTGCATTTCAAAGCAGCTATCCTTGTAGTATGCAGGCACTCTGGCATGTGCCAGCCGAGTGAATGGCAGAGAAGCATGTAGAAAAAGAGACTCGCTATCTGCCCTGATCTCCAGGAGATCTCCCTAGAACGATGCCAGGGATCTGCATTCCAAGCTAGTCCTGCAGGATCTGCTGTCTAGGCTGATCCTGGGGGATCCTAATCACAAACTATCGCTCTCCAGCTCCGTATAACTGCCCACCAGCCCAGGTCCCTGTCTAGGAGCACAGTCCTGATACAACTCAAGGCGAGGATCAGCTGGGACACACATTCCATGGTGTGTGGGGGTTTAACAGCCGCATGGAGACACCCTGGTATCATTTATCATGGATTTCATGTCCCCAAGTGGACGGTGCAGCTTGAAATGCAGCTGTTCCCAATAGCCACACCAATATTTCAGTGTGATGGTAAGTGGATAACGGGCAGAGATTTAAAGAACAGAATTTATATTCCTCCCCTCCTCACTCTGCCTGGCTTCAGGCTAGCTTTTCTGAGACCCTCCCTCTCATGTCAGCTGTGATCTGAGGAATGATCCCAAGATCAGTAGGAGACATTTTAATGGCAACTGTTTCCACTGAAATCAATAGCTAAACAAACACCACTTCAGGATCCAGATGGGGGCGGTGGCCGAAGGGCCTTTACCTTCTGTTGGAGGGCTCTCTCCAGTGATTCCACCTTCATCTGCTCTTTGCGCAGCCCAGCATGGAGAGCTGCACTCTCAGCTTTTGCTTTTGTGCGTACCTGTGCAATTTCTTCATTGGCTCTACGTGGGGGTTTAGAGAGAGAGAGAGAGACAGAGTGAGAGAGAATATTTATCACATGGGCCACAGCCCAACAGAGTAACATTACACAGTGCCACAGCGTACAGTTATCTAAACGCCTAAGAAAGCAAAGGATAAAGTCACCTGTTAAAGCAGCCAGTAACAGCTGCACTTGCTGTGCTGGCTCCAGTTCTCCTCCATGTTTATGAGCAATAGATTCTGAGGCTGTGTCTACATGGGGAAGTTGCAATGGTGTAACTTACATTGGCTTTTAAACTGGTTTATTTAAGATGGGGCAAACCCGCATGGACACGCTGCTTTCAGTTTCAGAGCAGCTTTTCTTGGGGTAGCTTAAGTCAACTGCAACAAGTTTAAGATGAACAAAAATAAGCTCCTTATACCAAAATCAGACTGTCGACACAGGGGTTTGACTGGTTTAACTACATCAGTTTAAATTCACACCTTCATGAGCTAATTCAGTTCAAACTAAATGGAAGGATAAACAAAAATAGATCTGTGACTAGGGTTTTTGATTCAAAAGGGCTAACTTAAAAAAATTAAGGAAATTAGTTAGGGAAATGGATTGGACTGAAGAACTTGTGGATCTAAAGGCAGAGGACGCCTGGAATTACTTCAAGTCAAAGTTGCAGAAACTATCAGAAGCCTGCATCCCAAGAAAGGGGAAAAAATTCATAGGCAGGAATTGTAGACCAAGTTGGATGAGCAAGCATCTCAGAGAGGTGATTAAGAAAAAGCAGAAAGCCTACAAGGAGTGGAAGATGGGAGTGATCAGCAAGGAAAGCTACCTTATTGAGGTCAGAACATGCAGGGATAAAGTGAGAAAGGCCAAAAGCCGTGTAGAGGGGAGGGAATTAAAACCAATAGTAAAAGGTTCTATAGCCATATAAATAAGAAGAAAACAAAGAAAGAAGAAGTGGGACCGCTAAACACTGAGGATGGAGTGGAGGTTAAGGATAATCTAGGCATGGCCCAATATCTAAACAAATACTTTGCCTCAGTCTTTAATGAGGAGCTTAGGGATAATGGTAGGATGACAAATGGGAATGAGGATATGGAGGTAGATATTACCACATCCGAGGTAGAAGCCAAACTCGAACAGCTTAATGGGACTAAAATCGAGGGGCCCAGATAATCTTCATCCAAGAATATTAAAGGAACTGGCACATGAAATCGCAAGCCCATTAGCAAGAATTTTTAATGAATCTGTAAACTCAGGGGTTGTACCATATGACTGGAGAATCGCTAACATAGTTCCTATTTTTAAGAAAGGAAAAAAGTGATCTGGGTAACTACAGGCCTGTTAGTTTGACATTTGTAGTATGCAAGGTCTTGGAAAAAATTTTGAAGGAGAAAGTAGTTAAGAACATTGAGGTCAATGGTAATTGGGACAAAATACAACATGGTTTTACAAAAGGTAGATCGTGCCAAACCAACCTGATCTCCTTCTTTGAGAAGGTAACAGATTTTTTAGACAAAGGAAATGCAGTGGATCTAATTTATCTCTATTTCAATAAGGCATTTGATATGGTTGCACATGGGGAATTATTAGTTAAATTGGAAAAGATGGGGATCAATATGAAAATTGAAAGGTGGATAAGGAACTGGTTAAAGGGGAGACTACAACGGTTCATACTGAAAGGTGAACTGTCAGGCTGGAGGGAGGTTACTAGTGGAGTTCCTCAGGGATTGGTTATGGGACCAATTTTATTTAATCTTTTTATTACTGACCTTGGCACAAAAAGTGGGAATGTTCTAATAAAGTTTGCGGATGACACAAAGCTGGGAGGTATTGCCAATACAGAGAAGAACCGGGATATCATACAGGAAGATCTAGATGACCTTGTAAACTGGAGTAATAATAATAGGATCAATTTAATAGTGAAAAGTGCAAGGACATGTATTTAGGGATTAATAACAAGAATTTTTGTTATAAGCTGGGGACTCATCAGTTGGAAGTAACAGAGGAGGAGAAGGACCTCGCAGTATTGGTTGATCACAGGATGATTATGAGCCGCCAATGTGATATGGCCGTGAAAAAAGCTAATGCAGTCTTGGGATGCCTCAGGTGAGGTATTTCCAGTAGAGATAAGGAGGTGTTAGTACCATTATATAAGGCACTGGTTAGACCTCATCTGGAATACTGTGGGCAGTTCTGGTCTCCCATGTTTAAGAAGGATGAATTCAAACTGGAACAGGTACAGAGAAGGGCTACTAGGATGATCTGAGGAATGGAAAACCTGTCTTATGAAAGTAGACTCAAAGAGCTTGGCTTGTTTAGCCTAACCAAAAGAAGGCTGAGGGGAGATATGATTGCTCTCTATAAATATATCAGAGGGATAAATACCAGGGAAGGAGAGGAATTATTTAAGCTCAGTACCAATGTGGACACAAGAACAAATGGATATAAACTGGCCATCAGGAAGTTTAGACTTGAAATTAGACAAAGTTTCTAACCATCCGAGGAGTGAGGTGAAGTTCTGGAACAGCCTTCCAAGGGGAGCAGTGGGGGCAAAAGACATATCTGGCTTCAAGACTAAGCTCGATAAGTTTATGGAAGGGATGGTATAATGGGATAGCCTAATTTTGGCAATTAATTGGTCTTTGACTATTAGCGGTAAATATGCCCAGTGGCCTGTGATGGGATGTTAGATGGGGTGGGATTTGAGTTACTACAGAGAATCCTTTCCTGGGTGCTGGCTGGTGAGTCTTGCCCACATGCTCAGGGTTTAGCTGATCACCATATTTGGGGTCGGGAAGGAATTTTCCTCCAGGGCAGATTGGCAGAGGCCCTGGGGGTTTTTCGCCTTCCTCTGCAGTGTGGGGCACGGGTCACTTGCTGAAGGATTCTCTGCACCTTGAAGTCTTTAAACCATGATTTGAGGACTTCAATAGCTCAGACAGAGGTTAGGGGTTTATTACAGGAGTGGGTGGGTGAGATTCTGTGGCCTGCGTTGTGCAGGAGGTCAGACTAGACGATTATAATGGTCCCTTCTGACCTTAAAGTCTATGAGTCTATGATTCTTAAGTCAAACCCAGTGCAATTTTCTCATGTAGCCAAGCCCTGAGTGATGGGTAGGGTTTCTCTGCCTTTCCACTTTTAGAACAAGAGGCCCCAGTGTCCCTGATATTCTCTGCCTCAGGACTTTGGGAAAGCCAGTCAGCATGTGCTGCCCCTTGATGACACTTTAAGTAGTAATGGTATCTCATCAAAAGAATTGCTAATAATATTGTAAATAACCAGCAGCTTTATAACCATTCTTAACTCACAATCTCAAATATTATAAGAGTACAGTTATCATCCAGCCACCTCGCTATAAAAGCACAAAGGATATAGAATGGTAGATTTCATTTTGCAAACTCTGTTATACAGATTGCTTTACCCTGCAGGAGTTCAAATTCCTCTAAACAATGAGCAGGACCCTTCTCAAGGTTACAGATTCTTTCAAAGACTCTGGTATGAATCTAATTTTTTATTTATAAACCTGGTTGAAAGACTGAAATCAAAGCTCATTCTTGTTTCTCCCAAAGTTCCAGACTCAGCCTGCATTCCGCAGAGCCCACATCTGGGATTCTTACTTGTCTAATTTTTCTTCTGCATGGATTTTCAGGGCTTGATACCGCTGCTCTTCCTGTTTGACCCGGGCTAAGTAATCCTGAGCACATTTTTTCAAAGCTTCTTCATTCTGGAAGATAAAAATTGCAAAACAATGGTGACTAATTTGAAATGGAGTTGAGCATGTCACACTGTGCTGATACGAACTACAAAACTGACACCCAGATGGAAATTGAGGTTCACAACTTTTGAAGTATTTTTTATTCTTCCGACAGATTGCTCATTTATGCTATGGCCTTTTTACACCACTCTGATAATGTTTTTATAATACCTTGCCTTTGCTCCAGCCCTTTGCTTGGATCCCTCTGCTACTTCTGATGTCTATTGTTCACAGAGTACAGGGAGAACGCGACCGTAAAATCTATAAAGAGGAACAGGCTCCCTGCTGCGATCAGCTCCAGCAGCTCTTATCACTGGCTTCCTGTGACATTTACAACCCGGACAGGTACCCTGCTTATTCATCCCAATGCTGACATATAAACGCAAGCACCGGAAACATCCTTCGACGAGGGCAAGGAGTAGAGCTGGGCAATTTTTTGACTTGTTTTTGGTGAAAAATGAAGATTTGGCAACATTAAAACAAGTTGCAAATTTGTATCAATTTTGCCAGATTGTTTCAAATGAAAAAAAAAATCTGAAAAAAATTAAACATTTAATTTCAACTTTTTAAAAATAAACCATCCTGATGTTTTTATTTGAAATGACTTTTAGCTTAGAAATAGTCCTTTAATTTTATTATTAAAAATGCTCCATATCAAAACAAAACGTTCTGGTCACCCTGAAATTAATTTTTTATTACTTTCTGATTTGCTGAAAATTTCAAAAAAATTTCATTTTCAGTTTGACCCACAACAATTCCGTCCCCCACCCCACCCCCCTGCCCCGAAATCTTGGCCTTGCCAGTGTATTGAGAAATCTGTTATTTGCCCAACTCTACCAAGGAACATTGATTCAAAGTGGCATTGGGGACATAGGACAACCAGAACAGTATTGGACAAGAAACAATAATAGCCTGTGTGCTTCTATAACCCCTTAACCAGAAACCATTGGACAGGACATCACACAGGCAGCACAGGAGGTACAACAAGGAAGAGGAAAGCAAGTCTCCCAAGAGAGTAAAGGACCTTCTTAAACCCTTCCAGAATGCCCTTCAGGTTCTCGTATCTCCGAAACAGATCCGACAGGGACCTTTCTACAGAGTTCAGGTCTGCCAGGGCCTGTTCCTTTTCCATTGTGAGCTGCTGCAGACTCTTCTGGGAGGCCATGTTTGTCCTCTGTTCATCTTCTGTGAATTAGAAGTAAATTATATTTACATCAAAACTCTCCTTTTCTGAAATGGAGACTGCTGCAGCAACGGCCTGGGGGTTATCGCTCCAAATTGCCCCATGACAGCCCTGGCTTGGATTCCAAGCGCGAGGGACTCTCAGGAGCAAGCAGGGATGAAAGCACAGCTGCCATCACTGCAGTGGTCCTCACTGGCCAACTTCGGATGTTGCTGATGGCTCTTCCAGGGGAGCCTCTGTCAGCCCACCTTGACTGGACGATACATCGTCACGGTGGAAAGCCGGGATGCGGGGGGGGAGAGGGAGGTGTCTAACGGAGAGGAACCTCAGGGCTATGGGAACACGTGGAACCTCCAACTTAGAAAACCTAACGTTCATTTATCAGGACGGAGAGAAGCTGGTCAGGGCAGCTGGTGGAGTGGGAGTAAGGGATTCTGCTTCATGCTCCTTATGGAGGCCAGTCCTGGTTGTAATAGCAGATGGGCACTGAACTAGGGGAAGCAGATGAAACTGGGTCCATTTTTCTCTGTGTTGTTACTGTGATCAGCATCCCACAAGCCATCCCGAGGCCACCAACTTCCTAACGCTAGTGACGGCTGCCACCCAGAGAGATCTTACCTATCATCTGGGCAATGGTCTTTTCATATTCAGCCACGATTTTCCTAGAACGAAAGGGGACAGGGGACATTTACACACAGTCTGGGGGTTTGTTTGTATCTGTGAAGCTCTGTTGCTGGCAAACTGCAGCTGGTATGTTGTTGCCAAGCCCACTTCTTAAGGCTTTGGGAAACAAAATGACACCAGCCAGTTCCAGAGGCAGCCTGTGTGCACAGTCTGAAACTATATGTATAGTCACTGAAACAGTCTAGATTATAGTTCTGATTCCTCTCAATCACCTCCTCTTTTCTCCAGTAATATCTGCCATCCAGCTGACCTGGCCTTCCCCTGGGCTCTCAGGCATGCACAGTTAATAGGATTTTACTCTTGCCACAAAGAACATGACAGACTTGTTACAGTCTGAGCATGATGAGCTCACGGCTTGTAACATGTTCCATCCTGAGCATGGCTATCCATGATATCTTATTACCACCAGGGCAAACTAAACCACAAGAGTCACAAAAGAAGAGACGCATGAGCAGCTTTTCAGTACCAAGCAATTCAGCACCCCAAAATCAACAGCTTTGCTTCAATATACCCCAGTGGCTGCATGGAAAGTCCAAGAGTCAGGCATGATTTGATCTGTAGCTCTGTGTGGGAATGCTAACGGATAACGTTGGGGGGTGAACACCTGAGAGCTCAGATTTTTACCTCATTTCCAAGACTTCTTGTCGGCTCTCTTCATATTTTTTCTTCCATTCATTTGCTTCGATCTCCTTAGTGATTATCTACATGGTAAAGGAAACAAAATGCAAACTCTAACTCTCCACCTCCAGGCATACAAGGGCTGTCTTCCAGGAGGTGGATCCCTACACCCAAAGCTCAGCTTCAGACTGTGAATTGGGAATGTTGTAGAGGATAGTCAGAGACATTAAATCCAATCACTAGCAATGCAAAACCCGAACACTTTGATATTAGCTGAAGACAGCTCTTTAGAAGATTACCAGCAATGGGCAAAGATTTAATCTAGATTCCAGTGCTGGCTCAAAATGTTCGGAGCCTCTAATTGCAAACGTTTATGAAGCATTTCTGCTGAAAATTACGTGCTTATGCCACTTGAAAAATAAATGTTAAGTGGCAAGCTTGAGGCATGAGGAGATGATTGCCCCAAAGCCTGCCACTGCACATCAACACAGGTGCTCAGCTGGGGTTTTACAGTAAGGGACCTGTGCAGATCTTAGATAAATTCATGGCTATAAAACTCTCCCCTTTTGTAAAAAGCAACAAAGAGTCCTGTGGCACCTTATAGACTAAGGGACGTATCGGAGCATAAGCTTTCGTGGGGAATACCCACTTCGTCAGATGAGCCCAATATGTCTGTTAGTCTGTAAGGTGCCACAGGACTCTTTGTTGCTTTCTACAGATCCAGACTAACATGGCTACCCCTCTGATACTCTCCCCTTTTGGAGTCTCGCTTTTGCCACAAGACGATGGAAGTGTGAGAGTGGGGGGATCTGCTGCTATCTTCTTTGCAGGCACCTTCTGCAGGCTAGGAGAATTGCTGGCCAAGCAGTAGGAGGGTACCCAAGAGGAACAGAAAGATTACAAACTACAAAGATTCTCCAGCACTTGATGATTTAAAATCCAGACTGGATGCCTTTCTGGAAGGTGTACTTCAGCCAGACACAAGATTTTGGGCTCAATATAGAGTAATGGGGTGAAATTGTAATGGCCTTTACTATAGAGGTCAGACTAGATCTACTGTTCCCTTCTAGCCTTAAACTCCATCCCCTGCCCCACCGTGTCCGCTGAGAATGTCACCCCCCAGAGCATCTCTGCCTCTCTGGGAGGCTAGTTCCCACATCCTGGATACACCTGTGATGTGACACCAGTGGGGAGCAGAGGTTATATTATTAGTGTGTGGTAGTCCCTAGAGGCCCCAATGGAGATCAGGGCCCCATGGTGTTGGCTGCTTCACACACACAGGCTGAGATGAATTCCTGCTCTGGGTGTACACGTTTTGCTGCCCTGAGCAGGCACCAGCCCCGACAGTGCTGAGTCACCATTACCTCTTCTCTTATTAAAGTGAGCACGGCTGTTTTGTCAGATTCACTGAGGCAAATGCTTTCCAGAGGACTTTCACTTCCACTCGCTCCGGTCGTCATGGCCCCAGGGGCTTTGTCCTTTGAGCACAGTCCAGAATCGCCCTGCGGTGACAAGAATTACTGCTCAATGATACATTCGATCTGCAGCTTTTCTGCCCAACTGCCCGTATTTGGGGTATGTCTCCACATTCTAAAGTCCTTCCTTCACCCATCCTGTATTTGTACACTGAAAATTCAGAGGCCTGTCTCCATTGTGGGAAGGAAACAGTGCAGTGTCCGGTCTAGGTACAAACCCTATCATTCCGGTCATGCCCCTTCAGGTCCCATTGTCTGTTGAGGCTGGATGAGTGGTTCCCTCCAAAGTCACTTGAAAATGCAGCTGTCAGACTGGCATACGGGCACACACTTCCATGGCGGAGTGAGGGGTTTGATGCATGCTCTAGGAGGAGCAGGAGCTCACAGGATGTGTGCACAGTGAAGCGAAAACAGGCCCTAAGGGAAGTCTCTTGCTAATGCATCTGATGGGCAAAGATTTGAGTCCCTTCCAGGTCAGCCTGGCCTCTGTCTCTAGGCTACCACCCTTTAGAAATCCAATAAACTTTGAGTCCTGAATAGGATGCTAGATTTAAACCAAACGTAGAAATGGCAGAAAACCCATTTCCCAGGACCTATATCAGACAGTTTCTAATGAAGATATTGCCAGAGCCAGATCCCACAATATCATCACACTCCCTTTGCTACATGCCCCGTGCTGCTACCGATTTAAAACAGCTCCAGGCACGTGAGCTTTGCTAAGTGTTGTTAATTGCAGCAGCCTATGTCAGGGCCTGCAGGGGACAGCGAATCCTGTGCCAGTCACCTCCCATTTAATGGGGGATTTGCTACAGCTGGCAGCAGTTGTATAGAGGTTTGCACAGCCTGGGTTATTTTGCTGGGCTTCACAAGTGGTTGTAGGGTCAGACAGCCTTCATGCAGGGAGCAGTGTTGATTATCTGTCTCCGCAGAGCAGCCATCTAGCTAACACCCCTGTGCAGACAGGCTCCAATCATTGCCTCCCTGATTGGAGACAGATCACCGTCCCCTTCCCTCTGTATTAGCATGTGCTGCAGCAGCAACCTCCTCTTGGAGCAACTGGTCCAGCGGGGTATTTAACACGCTTCCTTAGAGCAGGAGGTCATCAGATAGGGCCATTACAGTCTGTGTTCTCTGGAAAGCTTGCTCCATATTCTCTGACCAACTACTCAAAGCAGCCTCATCCGGGACACACCCCATGAAAACCAAGAGTCTCTCCTGCCCGGGAGAACTTCACAATCTAATACCCTGATCTGGATATCAATGCACCTTTCATGGATTTCCCCTGCTACTCTTACTAATGAGTAAAGTCACAGGTGCTCTACCTTGGGACTTCTCCACTCAGAACCCATCTCCTCTTACTTGAATCTGCAAGGAAAATCACAACACTAAAATCATTTAGAAAAGGCCTCATATACTGCACCCCCGAGGGGTTTATTCTCCACTGTTGCAGCCAATCTAGCTTTAAATATCTCCAATCCCTTCTCTTGGGAGATTCCTCCACAGCCTGACAGATCTCACTGTTAGAAAATCTTTCCTGACAGCTAGTCTCCTAAAATGTCCCTTTCTTAATTTTATGCCACTAATCCCAGCTACACTCCCTTCCCAGTTATCTGCTTGGCCACAGGCCACAAACAGAGAAGCATTATATCAAGGAGCTAGTCGGAGTTTGTGCAGCGTTTTGTAAATGAAAAACACCCTTTCTCTGAGCAGTAAGTTCTAGTGTTTTTCAGTCCCAAGCCAGATGTAGAATTTTGTTTGGTTAGTGAGGGTGACAGTTCTTATTACGCAGCACAGTGGCAGGTGAGTGAACACAGCAAAGTAATGGGAGCGTCGGCTGCTCTCAGCACAAATGCTCTGAGACCCCAAGCTGGTGCAATTGGAAAAATCTCTTTAATGCAACCCCTGCCCATGGCCACGCAGTGCACCAAGAGAGGAGCTCCTTGGGAGTAACAGCTCTGGGCATAGCTTGGAGACTCCCCGATGACACCCTACACTAGGGCACATACTCCTGAGCACTCGGCAAGTAACAATCCCCCATGTTTCCCGCTTCCCAAATCAGCCGCTCCCACTTCCTGCCAAGCTCCCAGTTCCAAGGAAGAAACAAACTGCCCTGGACACTGACCATGACTTGTCTGACTGAGCAGAGGGTCTCCCTCTAATGTGGCCCAATACCCCCCTGAGCCCTGCATGCCCATGTCCACCCCAGAGCCTCCCTGTAGCAACTAATGCATTACACTGAACCTCCAGAGCTGCAGGGCTCTGGAGACCTGAGCTGGGAATCCCCACAGAAAGCAAGTACTTTTCCCTTGGTTTGCTTTACTAATGTCCTTGGGAGGCTTAGGGTAGTGAAATCTGTCCCAGGGAAGCTGAGCTGGCTGCTGGGGTTAATCTCATTGTCATCTGCCTGCCACCTTCCTCTCTTAGCTGTTCCAGCCGCGTGGAGCTGAGCTGGCGTAGCATGTCCCCTTGCCCACAGCTCTGTCGCAGTAGGGAAGGGATTTTATCTACACACCGGTCACAGCTGCTCCGACACTGCTGCCTGGCTCCCAGCAGTGCACGAGGCTGAGATAGCAGGACACAGAGCGACTGATGGGAGTACACGGAGTTGCACTGGCAGCAGCAGTGCTCTCTCGATCACCAGGGCTGTTTTATCTCCTCCTCAGTGGACACCATCCTGGTTGTAGGGAGGGAGCCATCAAGCTGGCTTCCAGAAGCAGAATTTGGGGCCCTTTCCTATAGGGTGTGAGAGCTCGCTTCCCCATCGCTATTCACTGTGATCGGTTCCAGAGAGGCACTGGATTTTTATTCACTCCACCAGTCTGTGTTTTCTGTTTCTCTCTTCTCTCCTCTTCTCCCATCCCCATCAGCAGACACTGCAGCGGCACGCTACCCACGACCACTTCAGCGCCATGCATCGCCCAGCAGAGGGAGCCGTGCATGCAGCCCATGGGGACAGCAGACTTGCTGTGCGTTGAGGGGCACGGCTGGCAGCGTCCCACCAGCTTTCAAAAGAGTCTCTTGCCACATGAATCCAATTCATGTTGCAAGGGGATTACACAGAGTCCACAAGAGCATGATACCACATGCCAATTTCCCCAAGCACATGGCAATGGGAAGGCAGCTGGCAAGGACACAGAGACGGTCTGCAGGCAAACGCAGCAGCTGTCACTGCCAGCACCTCACAGCCACCGTCTGTCTCTGGGGAGAGTTACTGCGGCTATCGGGCTGCACTGCCTGCTTTTCACCAGCGGCTGCCACAGGATGCCACGTGATGGGGACAAGACTCTCCCTTGTCACTGGTCTGGGCTCTATCCCCCAACTTCTCCTCTTCCACTTCATTCAGGCTGTCAAGCTTCATATCTGGGCATCTTACAAATGCTCCGACAGCATCTGCGTATGTCTCCACTGCCCATCTGACTCTGGGGATCACAAACATCCACTTGTCCATCACTCACTCCTGACCACGTGTGGCTCATACACTCCCACCTGTCCTGATTCCCCATGGGACTCCTGGGTGTACAAAGTACCGTCCCCTCTGCCGACAGTTCATGTGCCCCTGCCTTTCCCTGCCCATCAGCCTATTCCAGCACCATCCCATCTGCCTGCCTGGACAAAGCTTTGGGCTGCACGCACAGAAGGAAGGCCTCTCTCTAGAGTGCACTTCAGGGGCTGCTGTGAAATCAGGATTGGTTAAATCCCCAGTTCACAATTTTAAATACATTAGCTCCCAAAGCAGCTTTCTCCTGAGGTGCTTTCAGAAAGACTGCCCACCACTGTGAGGCTGATCCAGAGGCCACTTGGCCATTTCTGCAGCGCCCTGGAGGAGTCAGGCCTGTATCAGGGAACGTGGGATAGTAGCGGTCAGAGAGCAGGGATTTGGGGTGATCACTTAGTATATTCAGCATAGTCTCCCCCTTTTCACTGTGCCTGCAAGTGTCTCAATATGCTGGCAGAGGCCAACTCTTACTCACAAAGAGCACTTCTTACTCATGCAAACAGCCCTGTTCAAGTCAAGGAATGTGAGTAAGGGCTGAAGAATCAGGCCCGTAGTGAATCACGGTGTTTCACCGGGGAGGGGGGGGTCACTGGCACAGGAGAAGCCACAGGAGGTCAGAGTAAAGGCGAAGCTGCACTTACCAGGGTGCCGCTGGGCCCGTCCTTCTCCTTCTGTTTGGATGTCTCTTTTTCGAACCCTAAAACACAGGGCACAAGGTGTTACAGCCGCGTTGAGAGCATGACTGTCACCCCAGCAAAGAGACTTGCTGGAATAGAAGAGTTTAAGGCCATCTCTTCCAGTTCCCCGAGGCTCAAGATTCCAGGCTCTGTGGGGTTCCTGTCCTTACACGGATGGACAGTTTTATTTTGGGTCAGCACATGGCCTGTTTTCCTCACACACAGGGACACGCCCACCCAGGGGGGAACCCTGACAGCAGCAAAGGAGCAGATTTTTTTAGGTTTTTAAGGTCAGGTTTGACAAAGCCCTGGCTGGGATGATTTAGTTGGGGATTGGTCCTGCTTTGAGCAGGGGGTTGGACTAGATGACCTCCTGAGGTCCCTTCCAACCCTGATATTCTATGATTCTATGATACCAGCACCTGCTTTCCAAAGGAGCTGGCAAAGTATGCGGAAGACAATGCAGCAGCTCTGTGTAGGTAGGGGTGCCAAACCATACTGACATTGAATAGGGACCCCAGGGAGGATCAGAGCCCAGAGCAGGAATGATGGGCTAGGGGTGAGGCTGCTGGACTGAAACTCAGGAGACCCAAGTCCAGCTCCTCACCTTGGGCAAATCAAATCTATCCTGTGCCTCAGTTCCCCATCCGTACAATGGGGATGAATGATACCTCCCTACCGCATTCGAGCTGTGGGGATACAAGCCATTAATGACCAGGAGGCGCTCAGATACTGTGGTGAGGGGGCCATAAAACTCCCCAGATAAGCTGCGCTAGGTGCTGTACAAATGCACATGAAGATGAGAGCTCGAGCTTTTCCTGTTTTCTAACAGGATTTACTTGAGTGTCTACAGTCACGGTCATTATCCACGTACTCTGTAAACTTTGGGGTGTTCTTTGGGATCCTTTGGCTTGGGAAGTGTCATATCAATGTAACATAGAATCACAGAATTGTAGGGCTGGAAGGGAGCTCGATAGGTCATCTAGTCCAGTCCCCTGCACTGAGGCAGGACCAAGTGTTATCTATCCTGGAAGGTGTTTGTCCAACTGGTTCCTGTCAGGGATGGTTCGAAGATATTATTAGAATTAATAGTCCCTACAGGATAAGGTGACGTGCAGCATAGGTGGCAACTGCCCACCCTGAGAGCTCTGGGGCAGGCACAGAGGTTTTGCTCCAGCCCCGGGGCTCAAGACAGGAGTAATGGATGGGCACAAAGGAGATCAGAGTTAAGGGGAAACCCATCATGTGATGGAGCTTAGAAGGGATGAGCTGCTTCACTCATTCAGCATCCTTTGCAGGCCAATCTGTAGAGAGGTCCTGTTGGAGTCAAGGTGGTGCAAGTCTCATTCATTGGGTGTGAGACTCACTCCCTAGCACGCGCTCTCACTCTCACACACACACACACACACACACACACACACACACACACACACACTCCTAAGCTTATCACACTCATTTTAAGTAAAAATATAGAGATTTAAATTATTTTTACTCAGGCACTGCAAGAGACAACAGTAAGCTTGGAAAGATGCTTCCCAAGTTTGTGTACTGCAGTAACCATGGAGACTACAGTCCCTTGTGCGATACGTGTGAGAAAGGACAGAGGAGGCTACACGGGGGAAGGGGGGGTTGTTTGTGTGAATATTGGACTGTCAAAAAAAATATGAATTTGCCCAAAAAACGAGTAGGACTTGATCAAAAGTTTGCGGGTTCTGCAAAATACAGTTCCAAATTTAAACTGCACTGAGCAAATTCACATCCTCGGTGATCTCCAACCACCCAAGTTTTTGTTCCAAACAATCGTTTTGATTAAAATCCACTAGTTTGCACTGCATATAAAATTCTCACGTGCCCTAGCCTTTAGTGTGAATTAGGACAATGAAGTATCAGAGGGGTAGCCGTGTTAGTCTGGATCTGTAAAAAGCAACAGAGTGTCCTGTGGCACCTTTAAGACTAACAGATGTATTGGAGCATAAGCTTTCGTGAGTGAATACCCACTTTGTCAGACGCAAGGTATTGATGAAGTGGGTATTCACCCATGAAAGCTTATGCTCCAATACATCTGTTAGTCTTAAAGGTGCCACAGGACTCTCTGTTGCTTAGGACAATGAAGCGTTTCCTATGCAATATTTAGCAGTGTACATTTTAAAACTATTAAGTGCTGGTTGGGTTAAACGCCTGGACTGGACGTCACCAAGGAGCAAAGACAAGAGTCCCTGTCTTAAGCAATGATCTAGCACACTTCCTGGAAAGTGTCTCTCTTTGGCCTTGACCCTCGCTCTTAAGGACAGCCAGCCCTTGGCATCTCTGTACAGGGCTGGTGTCCATCTGCTCGATGGGCGTGAGGATAAAGGGACCCACGCAAGTTCAATCAAGGGAGTGGGGCCTCTTCCCCTCCAAATGAAAATCACTGGCCCGCTCCCCACAGGGGCACCCAAGAACAAGAGCGGCAGCAAAGCGGTGGGCTTGCTGATTCAGCGATACCCACCCTGCAGGGCTTCCCTTCTGCTGCACTCAGAGCAAAGGGGGGAACAACGCTTTTGTGGCCATGCCGCAATGTGCCTTTGTCCTTGACAGGTGCCATTCACATCACTCCCCTCGGCTGCTGACTCCTGACCTTGGCAGTGACAAGGTATTTTCAGTGGACCTCCCAAGTTTCGAATTTACCCCCATCTGCAACATACTGTTGGTAAATGTAGGGAGACTGTAGGACATTTGAAAAAGACAGAGCAGTTGGGAGTTGGGACCGGCCGTGAACAAATTTTGCCTCTGGTGTGTGTTCATGGGTTTCCTCTGACTTCCCGTGCCCCAAGGCACATGTCCTCTCACTGTGCTTTGGCCTCAAAGCCAGCTCTGTCCAAATAAGCATTTAAGGGTAGGGTTTTCCCCCACCTTTGTCCTTGACAAGACGCTGCCCTGATGGCCCCTTTTCTCCATCACCACTTAGAGTAGCAATGCTGGTTGGTTTCCTAGAGGAGGGCGGGAGGTGCCCACCATACCTCTGCCCCCCATACTCTCCCCTGCTGCTGCTGCCACTTGGAGACATCGTCACACACCAAGAGGAGGAAGGGCAATTTCAGTCCTCCAGGGTGCTGCCTCTGAGCAGTCTTGACCACAGCCACTGACCTTTCCAGAACCACACTCAGTTTGGCGTGTGCACAGGATCCTCCCCCATCTTTCCCCCACTCTCCAGCTCCACAATCTGGATTTGCACAACCACCGGCAACAAATGTGAGGCTGAATAGTGATTGGGTGCAAGATCCTTCATTCCCTGTGTGTTACCAAATAGGTTCGTATATTCTACGGCCAAAGAAGCCCATTGTGCCCCTCCAATCTGAGTTCCTGTATAACACAGGCCATAGGACGGCCCGGAATTCATTCCTAACTAGAGCAGCTTTTAGAAAAACATCCAGTCTAGATTTAGAAATGCCAGTGAGAGAATCCACCACAACCCTTGGTAAACTCATTCCATAGGGTTAATTACTGGTGCTGCGTTCCACCTCAGAGGTGTCTGCATTTCAGTGATGGTTGCAATGACTCACACATATATAGTCTCTGTAAAGTGGAGGGATCATTTGGGATGAAAGACTGTTGATATTGCAGGTGGTGACAAGCAACAGCTGTTCCCCCCACTCTGAATAACACAAATATAAGCCTCACACCAACTGGCCCCGATGATCTGTCAAGAGAGTGGTTCATGTGTCCCTTTCTATTCTCACCAGCAGCAGAAGAGAGTAGATAAAAGCTGTCTCCTCCAATAACTGATGTCTGTGGATATCCTGCAACTCTACATGACTCCAGTATATAATTTATGAACCCTATGTTCCTAAATTACACTGTGGTGCTCTGTGAATGTGACTGGCAAAAGCATATGTATCATCAGAATACAATTATGACGGAAAGCAGGAAGTGAAAGGGCCCACTCTCCACTGCTACAAATTCTGGTTCATTTTCTCCACTTGGTCTATTGTTATTTTTTATTGTCTAGATTTTCAGTAGGCCTGCATTGCCCTGCATCGTGGCCAATCTCTTCCCTCAGTGGAAAGTGAGTGCAGAATGCGACCAAATCAGAATGATGGGAAAGACGTAAGTTTTGCACTGTGACACATGGCTACCCAAGGAGCAAGGCGCTGGGGAATCAAGCCCTGTGAGTCTACAGGAACAAATATGTGAAATAAAAGTTTTTCTCCTTAAACCATGAAACCTTTATTTCCCTGGAATACTCAACAACTTGTGGCTCAGTTAATTATCAACGGTGACCTCCCATGTAGAGAGAAGTAAGAATTCTCTCCTCCAGGAAATATGCCCACAGAGACTATTACAGCTATTTCTCACATTTCAGGAGAAATGATTAATGTGTAAGAAACAAAACTGGCCAGGAGATGGCTGCAAATTTTCAGTGTGGCAGTTTTTGCCGTTCTCACCTGTAACTTTGACATTGATTTAACATCACCCTTGCTGACTTTTAATTATTTCAAAATGGATTGGCTGGAGCTGCAAATTCAATAGAAGACAAAATACCGCCACAACGTTTCTACAGACCTTGCTTAGCAAATCCAAATGTCCTTACAGGCACGTATCCAGAACAGTTTTCATTTATACGACTCTTAAATATACAGATCTACATGATCTAGTAGATCCACACATTACCAACTCTCAGTCTCCCCACACTCACACTGGGCAGGTGTCAAAAAAGCAGTAGAGCACTCACAGGAATTGATTTTTGATTCACATTTGATTGTTCTGAAAGAGCACAAGCTGGTTTGCAGCTTGATAAAAGGTTGGCCCCACTTCACCCCATTGGATTCACATGACAGAACAGATTCATGGCTTAGATGGAGACTTTGCAGCAGCAGCAAGGCAGCAGGAGAACTAGCGTTGTGAGAGAGGGGACAGTTTGTGATCCTGGATTTATTCTGTACATCCATTGTCTGAGCCAGTTTCAGTCAGTGGCGATGGAGATGAACTTTCTAATGTAATGCCGTGAGCTTCTGTACAGCACTAAATTAAAAAGGGCCTATATAAAAACAACCTACAATCACTGCTGTAGCTTCCTGCCCAATTAATGTAAATAAGATGCGGGATGCTGCTGCTCACATGGCTCTGTTTGCTGTTAGAGGTTATTTTAGAGGTCACTTGGATTTCTGAGTCTACATGCTGTATATGTCTATAGAGTTAGAGAGAGAGATAAATAGAGATATGCTTCCATACCTGCTTCTGAGGATGAAAACGCATGATTTATGGTAGACACGGGAACATTGGAACATTCAAAGTACTCCAGGTCGTCTTCTGGCTCACCTTTCACCTCTGGCCCGGATGGTTTCTGACTGGAGGATGTAGACGCCAGCTTCTCTTCATCAGTAGCGTGGCCATCACAGTTTGCAACATCTGGGATTTTTGAGATCAATGCTCCTTCATCCTGTGGGATCAAGGCAGGCAATTCAGCAGGGCTAAACTAATCCATAGGGATCAGGCTAATGCGTCATCAGAACAGCTAATGGAAAACAAAAGAAAACTCATCAAGTGGGCAAGCCGCTTCTACGGCATCTCAGGAAGGTTTTGGAAGACAGAAACACATGGCAGAAAGGAATGGACAAAATCCATTAAGCTGTGTGATCACAAAACTTGGCATCTCACCACTGCCCCAGAAATGGACAGGGGGCATAAGAACATAAGAACGGCCGTACTGGGTCAGACCAAAGGTCCATCCAGCCCAATATCCTGTCTACCGACAGTGGCCAATGCCAGGTGCCCCAGAGGGAGTGAACCTAATAAGTAATGATCAGGTGCTCTCTCTCCTGCCATCCATCTCCATCCTTTGACAATCAGAGGCTAGGGACACCTTTCCTTACCCATCCTGGCTAATAGCTATTAATGGACTTAACCTTCATGAATTTATTCAGTTCTCTTTTAAACCCTGTTATAGACACTTTCAAGGCATTGCCCTGGTTCCCTCCTATGAAAGACAAAGAAATGTAGAGACCATGGGTTCATTTATTGGCCGAAAAACTTAGCAGGGCAGGGAGGGGAAGGATTATCGGATAGTTGCACATAAAACATCTCCATCATGGATTCTTCCAGCTCCTCCTCATGTTGTTCATCTCCTCCCAGAACCCAGGATTTGGCGATGTAGAGGGAGATTTTCATTGGAGAAGGGGGATGTAGTGCAAACTAGTGTTTTCCGGGACATCTGCTGGCTGGTTCTGGGTTGTTACAGGTAAATATCAGTTTAAAGCTAAACCCTCCAAGCTCTTCTCATGATTATGTCCCCACTACATCAGAACAGTATCAGGAAAGACAGCCCCGAATCAGGATTGCAAGTCCTCCTCCTTCTCGACATGCTCACTTCCCACACACAAGCACCTGCTGGCCTCTGAAGAACACAGGTAAGTGCCATTTGCTTAAATGTACCTGAGTGCAAACATCCAGGACCAGGGATTGCATCTCATATTTCTTCACCTTGCAGCCACTCCTGCAACAAGAAAAAGACAGATTCAGACCCAGCTTTGCTGTTCTCACTGGGAGGACAGGTGGAAGGAGAAGCATGTGCAAAGAGAGGCTGAAGCAAATGAAGGGCAGCCCCAGCGTAGCACTGCACTCTGCTGATGGGACAGGCCCAAGCACTCATTAGGAAAATATTATGGCAAAGCAAGTTCTTAAAACAAAACAAAAAAACAACCCAAACCAACCAACCAACGTTGTTTTCTTCAGAATATTTATTCCTCTGCAAAGGTAAAGCCCAGAGGAAGCATCTCCAGTCAGCTCTTGCCTGCTGATGGAGAGGATTACAACCAACAATAAGCTCGGTAAGAAAGGTTTCTCTTACTAGGTCATTGCCCTGAATCTCTAAAGCTTTATCTGGAGATATTATCCAGGGGTTTAACATGCATGTTGGCCTTCCACAAGCACCAGTGCATGTCTCCTGAAGCCGTGTGTTACTCTGTTCTATCTACCTTGCGGCTCCGCAGAGCGCTCATCTCCATAGTAACCGTGCCTTTCCTAGCAAGTCAGATCTGCACAGCCAGGCCCGGACAGACTTTATGGGGTCTTCTGCTCTTCTCCCTTCCCTGGTCGTAGTGCACTCTGCTTGGTTTGAAGGGCAGACTCATTTCATTCCTTTGTATTTTAATGATCTATCCAGTGACGGTGAAAACGACATCTCAAAGAGGAGCGTGCTGCAGCATGCCCTAAAGAAGGCTAAGCTCGGGGTGACGCTGAGCGATTCTTGTGGCTCATTCCAGACATGGATCCCCTCAAATGAGAATGCTCCATCTCCAGCTCTCAGGCATTTAGTCCTGGGTTTTGCAAGCTGCACTGTCCATAGTAAGTCCTGGATGGAGATGTGGTTATAGGCGTATCTGGGGCCTAACAAACTGATGGCCCAGGCCTTGAATTAACTCTGGAAGCAGACCAGGAACCAGTGCAGAGACCATAGCACGGGGGTGCGGTATGGTAGCTTGGTACATGTTCCCAGTTGTCAGCCCATTGAGGAGCTGGGTAGCAGCATTCTGCCCAATCTACACTCATAGCCACAATCAGCAAGTGTGGCTTCACTTTCCCACCAGGTTGCATCCTTGCTTTAGGCCCTGTATTGAGCTTTGCTTGGGTTAAGGGTCTGTTTTTCCTTGGACTCCGTGTCGATTCATTTCAACCAATGTGTTAAACAGATCTAGCAGACAGCACCGAGCTCCAAGGGCCGGATCCAGCAGAAAATAACACAGGCTCTCTGAACTGCGCAGTCAAGCATGCAGGGCTGAGAGGCACTATCCTCATTCTGGCATTTGGCAAAACAGACTGGCCGTGTCCCATGGACCCGGAGCATGCACCAAGGGATGTGGAGGCAGGAGTCTCTGGGGCACAAGAGGAAATGGAGACACCTGCCTTGCAGCAGGATAACATGCACAAGTGCATTCATCTCTCTCACACAGCACAGGAAGTCACGTTTCACCATCTTGGCAGGGAGCAAAGTTTCACCATCACCTCACTGCCTCAGTTAGCAACCTACTGTTCCAGACCTTGGTTTTTGGTTCCCCAGAGGACAAACATTTGCTGAGCTTAAGACAGACAGGGCCGGTGCTTCCACTAGGTGACCCTAGGTGGTCGCCTAGGGCAGCAGGATTTGAGGGGCGGCATTTTGCCGTCCCCGGTGGCAATTCGGTGGTGGGGGTCCTTCCGCTCTGCGTCTTCGGGGCGCTTCGGTGGCGGGTCCTTCACTCGCTCTGGGACCCGCTGCCGAAGCGCCCCGAAGACGCGGAGCAGAAGGACCCCCGCCGCTCTGAGGAGGAGCACTGCTGCCTAGGGCGGCAAAAACCCTGGCACCGCTCCTGAAGACAGATCTGGTGAGGGTCCATTACAGACATTTATAGGAAGGCTCATTGCCTCCTGTTTTCTCAATACTCCTTACCAGCAATTTTGCAATGGTGAAGTATGAAAAGATTTGCATTGAGGCCCTACTCCATAATAATCCCCTTCTCCTCCCCTCAGTTCACTCTCAAATCGCCCTGTTCTGTTTTCGTGCCTCTGCCCATTTTCCATCATGCACACGCTCCATGCAGGGATCACTAGTGCCCCAACAGAGCACAATGAAATCCATCATATGCTGGCCCATGAGGGAACCTGATTTGGAGGCTAACATTCACATCTGTGTCTGCCTCAAAACCCCACTCAACTTCACTTTTCTTCATAAGGTTCTAACACAGTTGAATCTCAGGTCCAATGGGGCTTGGCAGATAGCGCTCTCCTTAGGTACAGAAGAGGGCCACCATGCGACTCGCTGGGGAGAGGGTTCTCATACCATCTGGTAGCCAGTCTGATCAGAGTACCCTATCCCCTGGTACGCTATCCACAAGCTCGAGGGAAGGAGAAGAACCAGGCTAAGCTGCTCTCAGCCATAGGTTGCTATTACGCACATCCCACTAGCCAGCTGAGTTTTGCTTCTCTCTGCTAGACACATTTGTGCTCTTCTGCTATTGTTCTAATCCTGGAGCATGAATATAAAATGACCTGCTTCAGTAACCTCCAGGGCTTTCAATCAGCAAACCCTGAGGCTACCAGAGTCAACAGGGATATGGGACTACACAAACTAGGGAATGCAGGCCATGAAATACCCTCTTTCTACAGCGTATTGGGTGCCAGTACTTAGGACTCAAACTAAAGCAAAGAAGGTTGTATTCAGCTCAGGAAAATGCCTGGTAAATGGATTCCTAAAAATATGTACAATAGGAAGATCCCTAGTCCTGATTAAAAAATAAAACACCAATAGTACAGAAAGGCTGGTCAATTTTCAGTCTGAAGGCAAATGCCAACATTTGCATTCAGTTTTGCTGAATATTGTTCAGTATTGTACATACTGTAACTGACCCTTTCTCTGCTGGCATCCCCAGCTGAGAACTACGCAGACAATAAAGGCACAAATGGGGTAACATAATGTAAATAAACTACTGGTAAGTCTCCCGTTCCAGGTAGTTCTGAATTTCCCTAAATCTACCAGCATAACCTACATGAATCCTATCGCCTCTGCTGCTCTCCACAGTGAGTGGGCGGCGTTAGACAGTCACAAGTAAGATGAGTCCACCTGTTCCAGGAGAGTAAAAGGTCCCTAGAACCTGGTGTCAGACGATCTCTGCTGCTCTCCTCCTTACTACAGGAAAGCACAGGGGAAAGTGCAGAACTTCCACAGCAACAACACCGGGGAAAACACAGCTGGGGGGAAATACTTTCCTACAAGAACATGCAATATTTCACTGGTCCATTGTGGCCGGGGTTCTCATGCAAAGTGCTGTGGCGTACGTGGCTAGTTTGTTATGGTCAGGCTGATCACACATGCAGGCTGAGCGCACGGGTGTGTTACTGTAGGGGGCTGATGCATGCTGGGTGGCGCACGCTGGTTTACTATTGTAAAGTTTTGTGATGGGTCCAGATGAGGCTTAGCCAGGTGAGGGACAATACCCCAGCATGTTTCAGTCTAACTGGCTGCTCTAAGCAGGCTTTAGGGGCTCAGTTCAAATAAGTAGACAATCAAAAAGGTGTCGCCCCAAGGTGAGAGATGAAAACAAGGAGTGCAGACAGCTGCCCCTGACCAGTCACTAAGCAGAATTAACCAGCAGAATGGTTTTGTGCCGTCAATGTTTGAGACCATCAAAGGCAGGATTCTCTCCCCTCTCGCAGCAAGCCTGGGCCCAAATGCCAGCTACCTAGCTCAGACTCTTCGGGGCACGTTTCTCTAACAGTGCGGGGTGTCATTCATCACGGCCGGCTCCTGAACAGGCTGCCTGATGTTCTAACCGAACCCTAAGATAACGAGACAGGGCACTGGCCTGGCAGGCAGGAAACCTGGGCCTTATCCCTGGCTCTGCCACCGACCTGCTGTACGACTTTCAGTTACTTGTGTTTTCTGTTTCTCCTGTTACCCTTTGTCTGTCCCGTCTATTTAGATGGTAAAATCTCAGAGGCGGGGACTGTCTCTTACAATGTGTCTGTGCAGCAGCTAGCACAACAGAGCCCTGATCGTGTCTGGGCTCTAGGTGGTACTGCAGTACAAGTAACTAACATTAATCTGTGCACTGAGAGCATTCGGTCTCCACCCTGCCTTGCCAATCACTGGATAGGGCCAGTAGTAGTAAATACATAATGCTAATACTTCCCTTGTTGAAGATTGCTATTCTTTGCACTAGATTGTGGTTTATTTTATTGTGCAGGAGATCTGTACTGAGCCAGGTAAACCCTCCCCAAGCCCTAAAGACATTCCCACAGGAAGTTATGAAAAAGAAACTTAGGCTTGACAAAGCCCTGGCTGGGATGATTTAGTTGGGGATTGGTCCTGCTTTGAGCAGGGGGTTGGACTAGATACCTCCTGAGGTCCCTTCCAACCCTGAGATTCTATGATTCTGTGGTTTTTGAGTCCCTGGGCTCGGCAAAGCCTCTGTGAAGCTATTTCAAGACGTTCTGTCCATCATCCTATTTAGTCTCCTGCTCTTGGAGCCATTCCTTCAGTATACGCTGCCTGCCTCACTACTTTACAAAGGCTAGTCAGGTGGGGAGACATCCCCCCAGGGGAGAGAATCACCTGAAGGACAAAAACAACGTATGGGTCCAGAAGATCCCCCTAACCCAGTGGTTCTCAACCAGGGGTACGCATACCTCGGGGGGGTACATCAACTCATCTAGATATTTCCTTAGTTTTACAACAGGCTACATAAAAAGCACTAGAAAAGTCAGTACAAATTAAAATTTCATACAGACAATGACTTGTTTATACTGCTCTATATACTATACGCTGAAACATAAGTACAATATTTATATTCCAATTGATCTATTTTATAATTACATGGTATAAATGAGAAAATAAGCAACATTGCAGTAATAGTGCACTGTGACACTTGTTTTTTATGTACGATTTTGTTTTTAAGTGAGGTGAGCCTTGGGGTACGCAAAATCAGCCTCCTGAAAGGGGTACAGTTGTCTGGAAAGATTGAGAACCTCTGGCCTAACCAACACATTGATTTCATACACTTCTATGTCATCAAAACACACTGGAAGTTGACATGCCATGGGAGCAAGCACAGACACACACCTACAGTACCACCGCCGTCTCCCTTTCTCATTTATTTGCACACAGTCCATCACAAGGCTAAGCTGTCTGATGAAATAAGGTCTGAGAGAGGTGAACACGAGTCAGACAACGGAACTCAAAAGGTAGGAAGGAGCCTGCATGCCATGGAGAGAAGAGGGGTTGGAGAATGCTAATAAACACTAGAAACAAATAAAGAAAACAGAAGAGAGTACTTACAACAGAAAACAGAGAAATTTCACTTGTTCAGTAGTCCTGATGCATCAAATAATAGACAGGAAAGAGAGACAGACAGATGGAGAAAAAAAAAAGCATGTGAAACGACCTGGATATTATCTCTCATTTGAATAAATGTAACGAGTTGCACAGTTCTCTTTCTTGGGGAGGAGCATGCAGATAGGAGACAGTCCAATTCAGTGTTTATTATTATTGGAGAAGAAATGAACATTCATGCAAAAATCCAAAACCCCAGGGGCCCAGGGGCCTGGAACAGCTTACTCTGCTCCTAAATAAAGAAGAGATGGAACCTGAAACTTTAAGTGATATTCCATTGTCTGCTAATTCTTAACCACTTCAGAGTCAAACACAGAGGAGCGCTGGGGTTTAAACAGATCCATATAGATTCCTTGCAAGATATTTCTGAAAGATGTCAGAGAGACCAGTTCATTCAGGTTTGCCAGGTTTTCTCCATTCTCTCTCAGTTAAAATCCATCCTCCAGGTTTCCCCCCTCATTAAAATTTCACCTATACAACCTGTGAGCAGAATGGTGGCTTGTTTCATTTTTAATGTCAATTCAAGCACAAACTGTGCGCTTCCCAAACTTCCCCATTTAACCTGTTTCCTGCCTCTCCTTTTTCTGCTGGTTCCACCTGCCCCTTTGGCCAGGTGAATGTCAGTTAATAATTACAAGAAAAAGGCCCAAATATTTAGTGCGAAATGACTCTCTAGTGTGAAATAACAATCTTTAGTGCGAAATAACAATCCTTTCTGCCTTCCTACCTGTTCACAAACTACATATTGGGGTTATATCAAAAGATTAAACTGTATTGTGACATTTTGTTTCTGGTGTTTTGTATGTTGCAACTTCAAACTCTGGGACTCAAGTCACCTGGAGACATCAATAAGGCACAGTCCCTGCTCGGAAGAAACCTGAGATACAACGGGTGAAAGGCTTACAGTGACATATGCACTCCCAGAGAGTGGATACAATTCAGCCTGCATTCCCAGTTGGCACTGTGAAACCTCAGTACTTACATGACCATTTTAAATAGCATGCTTTAAGAACTAAATATGTATTTAAAGAATCCCACATGTACGTGTACCAAAATAGTCCTGCAGGGGAAGGCAAACTGCATGCCGTCTGGGCAGATGTGATACAGCCGACAGAACAAATAGCCTGACTGTTTAACCGTACTTCTCTTCATTAGCTATGAAAGAGGAAGTTCCAGGACGACCTGAAAACCGTTTCAGCAATATGTGATGAAAGAGACATCCATTTGTGTTGAGTGGAAGAACCACAGAGCCGCGGTGCACCAGCAGTTGGAAAGCCCCCTCCTGCCCAACCCTCACATTAAGGATTTGTTTTGAATAAACCATTTAACAGCAGGGGATTTTAAACTTCATACACTGGAATCTCAACCACCTGTTCTCTCTAACACACCAGGATCTCAGGTGATTTCTTACAACCAGGTCCCACTAAGAGACACTAGGCTACTTGGCTCTTATGACTAACACACGCATTGCTGAGTGTATTTGGCTTGCTCATCCTGTCAATTCATGAAGAACCACTGGATGAGAAAAAAAAAAAAAAAAAGATACAGCGACCTATGTGCAAATACAGCAGGGCAGGAACAAAATATAGTGACACTGCAGAATCTGGCTGCCTGCCATAGTTGTCTGTCTTGCAGCTCATTCACCAGCAAGACTAGCTTGGGTGAGAACAACGGGGCAGGAAACAGGAGTATTGCTGCAATTACTCCCAAGGCATCTGGGAAACAAACAAGCAGGCTGCCATCCCACAAAGCAAACCTCCGGCTGCCTGACCCCCAGAGAGCAGCCAACCCAGCACGCGGCATCACTCACGTTATCAAGCGCGACTTGGCCTTCTTCGGAGAGGCTTTGCCTATCGTCAGCTCCTCGCCCTGAACCTCCAGGGTCTGAGACTCCAGAATTTCATTGAGATTGTTATCAGCTGTGGGGCAGGAGTCAGCAGCTGTGCTGGCTAAGCTCTTGGTGGGTTTAAAAGGATCCACTGTGTCAAAGTTGTTGGGGTCAAAATGATAGGAAGCCTTTGGGAGGGGTGGGGAGTTCTGCAAGTTCGAGCTGCTGCCAAAAGGGTTGAAGTTAGGGTCGTCCCACTGACTGGGATCCACCGGGTACAAGACTTTGGGGAGAGGCACCTCTGCTGGAGCCTTTTCCAGGCCATCAGCACTCATAGGTTTATTAGCAGCTTCTCTTTGTCGTTTAGGAGTTAGTTTGCTGGCAGGTTTCCTGCCAATTTTCTTTGGCAAGGCTTTCTTGACCTCTCCATTCTCCACCCCATCCGTAAAATCAAATTCCAGCTTCAGAGCATGGCTCCGGGACTCCTCAGCCAACTCCACCCCGGAATCATTGGTGTCGCTGTTTGAAGCCATGAAGGTTTGCTGAGCTGCAGAAGGAGAGTTCTGTATTTTGGAACCTCCCATCACAAAGGGGTTTATTTTCTCATCAGACTCAGCCGGATTGAACTGGTAAGATGCTTTGGGGACAGGGATGCCCTCCGTGGCTGCTTTCGTTTCTGGGGTCTCTCCAGCTGTTTTCTTCCTAAGAGAAGATGGTTTCACTTTCTTGAGCTTGCTCTTGCTTGGCACTGACTCCAGGGCAAAGGTTTCAGCCTTTGGCTCAGCATCAGCCAACCCTTCAAGAGTGACCACCATGTCTTCTTCTGACATCACCCACTCTTGGGTAGCTGTGGGTACATTGGATGGTAAAGTCTGGTCTGGAGCCGACACTACTGAAGATGGAGAATCGGTTTCTTTTGTGAGTGCGGAAGAAATATCCAAAGGCGGCTCCGTTTCTGGTGCAACTTGTGTCACTGATGAATCTTCATCAAGTTTGCAGTCAGTTTCTGCTTTAGAATTCTTGTCGGCTTGAAGAACTCCAAGAGGCGATTGCACTTCATCCTCGGAGTGCTTCTGGGGTACATATGTCTCTGAAATTTCAGCTACCAGCTGTTCATCATCTTCACGTAATTCTAAAATAGATAAAAGCAGCTATTAAAACCATGCCTGCTCTATAGCATTCTAGCATATTCTGCACCTAGACATCAGCTGAATGAGTTATGGATTGGCTTCCCTACGATTTTCCTCTTCTCAAAGCTGCTCCAAGATTCATAGACACAAAGATCAATGTATTTATTTAGATTTATAATTTATCCCCAGCTGCAGATATGTTCTGTAGAATTTAAAGTACACAATCCAGAATCTGAAGGTCACCATGAGAGAGAATGCCCACACAGACCAGAGCTACTCACCTACCAACAAACCTATAACGTCCTCTCCCTATGACCTACTACCACCCTAATGCCCAAGAAGAAAGATGGGCGTTGCAACTTGATTGGAAAATTAACAAATCTGAGTTGCAGAGAACCTAACCCCTAGCTAGGACTGATCAGATAGTGTTTATTGTGACTCCCAAGTATAAAATCTAGGTTGCAAATGTAGAATAAAAACAACAAAACGCATTATTGCCCACTGCAATGGGAAGTAAAAAAGCCAAATCAGTCTAAAGCAACCACAACTTGAGAAAACAACCTAGAAGTTCATTTGAAATAACATAATTTTACTTTATTTCACAGACAGCGGCAAAAGGGGCAGGTCTCTAGGGATAAGTGGCAATACAGATATTTTTCAACTACCTTAGTTCTATTTTGTCATTGAGCTAATATGTGACAGGGAATTTTTTCAAGTCCTGCTACAAACTACCACACTGTTATTCCATGGCCCTAGCTTGACAAGCATGAAGTGGCTTGTTCAAAAGAACACCAGTAGGAGCAGCTATGTAATTTGCCATTTGGACACAGCCAGTTAACAATGCTGCCAGCAGCCGTCTCATAAGCTCCATGCCTTTCGCCACTTCTTTACTTCCCATCCCAATGAGGGGAAGTGTCCTGTCAATGGAAGAGGAGTATGGTACAGTACTACACCGCCTTCAGCCTAAGCACCATTTCACCCAAGTCCGTGGGATTCGCTTGCGTTTACATGGAGGCTGGTTACACCGCGCCAGTGTTCAATTATATCCACTTGAAGGCCCCATTACATTGCCAAAAAGCTGTCGAGTGGCCTCAGTGTAAAGAAAAGTAGTCCCAGTGTTTAAAGGACAAATTACAGGCTACAGCTTGGGTTGCAGGGGCAGCTGTGCAGAGATGAACGGTGCTATGGCGATCTGACTGCGAGTGCACATGTGGGTGTCCATACTTCACTGGGGGGGGGGCGGAGGTTAACTGCAGGTAGTGTATGGTACACAGTTATTTACCTTTGTACAGTTCCACTTCGAGCAGTAAATGCGTTAGGTACCCAATTCCCTACGCCCCTTTGAAAGCCACAACCTGGTGTCTCTCCTCTACGGCAGCCTTTGTTGGGTGAATGCAGATTTTAGGCAAAAAACCAAAACCAATAAAACAAAAACAAAAAGCAGCCAGAGGAAAGAGAGCACCCTAAAGTCAGTGTTTGCAGTGCAGTCTGCGCATGCCCAGCCCACAGAAGCACAGTGTAACGTCCGTGCTGGGTTGGTCTCACGATATTCAGCTGTGACATTCTGAGTGAGTTTCCCAGGCCTGAAGAAGAGCTCAGTGTGAGCCCGAAAGCTTGTCTCTCTCTCGCCAGCAGAGGTTGGTCCAATAAAAGATATTACCTCCCGCACCTTGCCTGCATTTCAGCATTCCTGCAGGCGAAGGCGCTGTTCACAGCAGACAGGGCTGAGCCTTTGAGATGATGGTCCCAACTTTAACTCCCATGGATTCCAGTCCTCTCGGCTCTACGGTCACGCTTAAAAGTATCCTGCAAACTTACAGGGAAGCTCTGAACATGATGCAGCCCAAGGAAAATCCCTTTGTCTGTAGGTCTCTAATCTCCAGCAATGACCAGTGTGTAACCACGACACACGCCTTCCTGCAGGGTGAGCGGTGCTATGCAACTCCCCCACCCACTCCAGCACACGCAAAAGGCATGAGGGAGGCCTGAATTTGTCATAGTGACACCAGCAAGGGGGATGCTCGTTTAGGTAAGGCAGCACCCGCCCCGAGTAAGGGTGGCTGGATCAGGCGCACAGTAAACGTCTAAAGGTTTCCTAAGGACTCGTATGCTGAGCCCCGCGGCGCAGGAGTTTGTTTGACAGCGGCTCTGCTCGCTTCTGACATCCCTGCGTTTGCTCTCCACAAACTATCTTATTAATCCTGACAAGCACAGCAACCACTTGGGGGCTCATCAGCCACCAAAGAGCCCTCCTGTTGCACAACGCTCCTGACGTCAGTGTGGTGGTTCTGTGCCCCTTCCGGAAGCAGCGCCGATCCAAACCAGGAAGCCACGCCAAGCTGAACTGTCTTAACCTTTCACTTGCTGTCATTTATTTTATGTTCCCATTTCCCTTTGAAGGATTCTCTATCTTCCTGATAGTCATCTCCCTGGGAACTGGCTGTAAGCTCAGAAACACAGAGCGGTCCCCTCACAAGTCAGGTACTGGGGAAGGCGATTATCTGAAGACAGTTTTTGCAAACATTAAAATGCTGTGTGTCTGAATCAGCAAAGGAGACACATGACCAGTCAGTAGGTTCTCCGGTTAGTATTTTAAACATCTGCTCTAGCTATAGAAGCCCCATGCCACCGGTTCTCTTTCATTTACACAAAATGCATGGCTCACATCACTGAGATGTATAAATGTGAGACGCCACAGTGCAGTGAAAGCAGACAAGCATATATGCTTGAGGGGAAAAAATACAAAAAGCAGGGTCTTAAAACAACGGAGGGTGTGTTCAAAATGATAGATTTAGCTCACAAATAGGGTGACCAGACAGCAAATGTGAAAAATCGGGACGGGGTGAGGGGTAATAGGAGCCTATACAAGAAAAAGACCCAAAAATCAGGACTGTCCCTATAAAATCAGGACATCTGGTCACCCTACTCACAACCAACCAACCCAGGAATATCTCTGAGTTTTTCTATAAGATTCTCTCTCTTCCCATCCCTGGAATGTTGCTTAATCTCATTCTCATTGCAGCAAGCCCCCTCTGCAGAAATCCTGTCTACGTGTTCATATCGTGCTCAACACTATGCTATCTGAGAGCCTTAATCCCGGATCCTGACCCATGACTTCATCACTGCCGGCCACAACTACTGCAGTTCCCTCCCTCCGTTCGTCTTACTAAATCCTTGACTTTTTAACCTTTTCTTCTCTTTCAGGGGATCCTCATCTGCTCAGACACCTTGAAAACGACAGCTGTCAAGTGTCTAGATGCAGAAGGGACGGTACAGCTGTGAGCTGGGCTGGGAAGGGAGGGGGAAATGCCTGCAGTAATGAAAGCCCATCCTCAACTCTTCTGCATGCCTCTTGCATTTTGGCAAGGGGCATTTGGCCAGATTTCCCAGTACTCAGCACCCATAATTGAAGCCAGAGTTTTAAGTGCTCATCTCCCATTGTAACCCCTATGGCAACCCCCCTGGATGCCTCTGAAAAAATCTGTCCTTGGCTGTGGTGTGCAGAGCTTGTTTGAAAATCTGTAATAGCACGGGAGACTTCAAGGCGCAGTGCTAGTCCTGTGAAGCCAGTACCACGGTCCATGATTCTGTCTCTGGCCAGCCAGTGTAAGCAGTACAGCATCATGTCTGAAATAATGCAAATGTTAATACACTTCACAAGGGAAATATGAATTATGGTAGTCAGGACAGCCCATCTGGCCTGCTAAACACCAAAGCACTCATCTTCGTAAGGACTTTATGTCTATCAAAGTGAGTCTGTGGCTGTTCCATATTTTCTGGCTCCTGAGTGCACTATGGATCAGCAAAAGAAGGTAAACATGGAGCAGAGAAATATCCACATTCCTGCACTAATCCAGGATGCTGAACCAAGCCTGACTCAGCTGGTGGCTTCTGATCTGCATAATTGATCCTCAATATGCTAAAAGCCATGGAAATGAAGCATGAAGGACTGTCTGCACCCCAGGCTGGGGAGGGAATGTCCTCCGCTAGAAACTACCTTCCTGCCCTTGTGAAATACATTACCAAACACAACCACAACGACAGGACCTTTGTGAAGCCGTGACTGTGTAGCTCTCCAAGCCAGCACTGGAGAGGGTCTTCCTCCCACTCGTTAACAGGAAAACTAACCCTTCTTAACAAAGTCCACAGTACTTTACTAGGCCTGTTCTATGATGTAGTGTTTCAGGCTACTGCTGTGGTACCTGTTCCTAAGGAAAGATCTGACCCTAAAATTAAAGGGACACAGGACAGCCACATTTTATACCCCGGGGCGGTGCATTCTCCTTGTAGCCAACGTCTGACAGGCATAAACTTAAATCAGTCTAAATTCATCTACCTTGGGTAAATAAAAGAACAAGCTACTCCATCTCCGTGGAGGTCGCCTCTCTGACCTCTGCTGTGACCCACACCCCTGTGTGAGAGTCGCACGCGGGTTTGGGCTCTGCGTATGAACAACACTTTGGTTACCATCATTTTGAGCTTGGATGTTGAGATTGGCTGGTGTTCCCTCATGGGAAATACTGGTGAACTGACTCTTCTGGGAAGGCACTTCGATTTTGTAATTTGCTCCCTCCTGATGCCCGCCAGAGCCCAGACTTGCTAACCCTTCAGGCTGTGGCAGAGCCCACCTTTTCCCCAAGCACCTGGGGAGCTGGGTTATACTGGAAACAGGAAGTGTGCATTCGGGACGCTGACGGGCTTGCGGCAAATTCCAAATGGCAAGCGATGATCACCGCAAGGCACTGATCATTTGGGTGGAGGACTGTCTTAACTTGATGGGAGGGACAGTGGTCACTAAAATCTAAAAACTGCAAAAACAAACAAACGCAGGGCTGGGGTCAGAGCCCCCAGCACCTGCGGGGCAACAGGGGATGCACTGCTGGGTCTGGGGAACAGCCTATGTGAGAGAGAAAAGCCAGTGGGGCAGTAAAGAGCCACCTTATCTCTTATTCAAAAACCAGACGGAAAACACTTCAACCTCCCTGGTCACTCAATTACAAAC